GCAATTTGGATATTACTGGATGCACTTTAAGCATCCTTTTCTCTCTTCCTTTTTCTTCTTCTTTTTCCCCTTTTTGCTCTCTCTCTCTTTCTCTCTCTCTTCAAACCGTACGCGCGCGCCTCTACACCACGCCACGCAAACTACACACCGCTAATCGCGTAAACGCTTATGGCGATCAAGCATGTCCCTATTACCAGGCTACAACCGGTGTTTAACCTACTGCGCGACTTAAACGCAATTTTGATATGCGATGCTCGAGTACCGATACGTTCGACCTTCCCGCTCTCATCATTTTATTTCATACAACGAAGTCGATGCCTGAGACCCGTCTAGATGCTCGGTCTAGTAACGAGTTATTATAATCCGTGACGAATAACTTTCTCCTCGCTCTCGTATTACATCGGAATAATCAGCTTTAATGCTGTTTTAATGCTGGTTTAAATAAATAAAAAAAAGTAAGAGAAACGTAATGATAAACGACGTGGGTATATCTAATTTATACCATTATACGTACGGACGTACCGTTAAATCGCGCTTCTTTGTAAAACGAAACCCCGCTTTATTTATCGAATTACCTTCGCCTCGGTTTATTTCACGCGCGCAAAGAGAAAAGGGAAGGGAGAAAGGAGCAACGGTCTCGCTCGCACGGGCTCGCTTGCGACGTACGAAAGAATATATGTATGTATCTATCTATCGATATACGCGATATGATATTTTACTTGAACGCGCAACCCGAGGGATAAAATACGAAGAAGGTATACGAGGAAGGTATTTACTCAATGGAGACGTAAATAACGCGGGCGATAGCACGAGCGATTCGATATCTTGCTCGATCGCACGGCCGGTATCGGGTGTATCTGTTTTACCACGCACAATCGAGGCCCGCATAGATTCCGTTCCCGGTGGCGCGGTTAAAGGCTATAAAACATATCGATGCTTAATCCTGTCAGACGCCTCGGGTGTCGACGCGACAAAGCAAATAGCAATGGTACATATATAATATATATATATATATATACATCGTTCTCTGTTGGAAAATCTCTGGCGCGCAGAATGCGTATACGGGCCCCTGTTTCCAAGATTTGCGTGGATTCGAGTCCGACGATACCGAGCGAGCTAATTATACTCGTATACACGAGTGAGAAGCGTGAGAACTAAGAGGCCGCTGTGAAGCACGTGGCACGCGTATGCCTATTTACCGAGTGTTAGTAGTGTTGAAACGCGATAGGTGAATAGCGTGACAGCGAGTGAGACGAATGTTAGGCGTGACGTGGCACGTGCGCGCGAACTCTGTCCGTAGGCGTGTATATCCGCGGCGCGGACGACGTCCCATTAATTAGGTAGACGGGGGTAGGAGGGCTTTAACGGTATGGAAGAGAGGACACGTGGCCGTTAAAACGCTTACGCCCCGAACGAACCAACGAACGATTCGACGCCGATCGGCTCGGCGACGGAGAGGGGTCTAGGAGACTATGAGATCGCG